GAGAAGAAGGTCTTGGCAAGATTTTTGCAACAAAAGGCCAATGAATCCCTATTGGATTGCACATAGGATCACCATGAACTGGGGGCCGAATAACAACAAGAACAACTTGTGAAAATACAGTAGCATGGCCTGTTTCACGTTACCAATGCTTTAACAACTAAAAATTCTATACTGTCTTCCAGTACTTTAATGTTTAGAAAAGTAATCAATATAGAATTTCTTTTTAGTGTGTCAATCAAGTGGCAAAATGATCAAAATTTAGGAATAAACTATCACATATTAAAACTCTGTCTTTACTGAGAATTTTCTGAAACTCTGCAGCTCTGGCTGCAGTAGTCCTGCTGCCTCAGCAGGTTCTATCTACTCCCTACATGACAATAATATGGTTAGATTCCTTCATTGCACTGATGGGCTAACATGAGTTCTCTTTTTCGTCCATGTCTTCTCCAGGCCAGCTTATTGTGAGCCTCTGTAGCAACACTGTCCAATGGACACATAACATGAAACACATATAGAGAATTTTAAATATCCTAGCAGTTACATTTTTAAAAAGATAAAAGGAAACTTTTGTTGTTAGGTACCTTTGAATCACTTTCAGCTCATAACAACAATGCATACAAAAGAACAAAAGACTATCTGGTTCTGAGCCATCCTTAAAATCATTTCTATGCTTCAGCACATTGTTGCAGCCACTGTGTCAATCCATCTCATTGAGGGTCTTTCCCTCTTCCACTGACCATTTACTTTATCAAACGTGATATCTTGGTCTTTCTTGATAGCATAACCAAAGTACAAGAGATAAACTCTGGCCATTCTCCCTTCTAATGAGCATTCGTGCTGTGTTTCTTCCAATAAAAATGTGTTCTTTCATCTGCCAGTCCATGGTAAACTCATATTCTTCACAAGCAACATGATTGAGATGCATCAGTTCTTCTGGGGTATTCCTTATGCTTTGTACAACTTATACATGCATATGAGGTGATTAAAAATGCCTTTGCTTGTGCCAGGCACACTTTAAAGTCATCTTCAAAGTGATCACTGCTCTTTAACACTTTAAAGAGGTCTTTTGGGGCAGATTTGAAGAATGCAATACATCTTTTAATTTCTTGATTGCTGCTTCTGTGGCTGTTGACTGTGTATCCCAGTAAGATGAAACCCTTGGCAATGTCAATCTGTTCTTCATTTATCATGATGATACTTATTGGTCAAACTGGGATGGTTTCTATTTTTTTTTTATGTTGTGGTATTATCCATCCAGAAGGATGTAGTCTTTAATCTTCATCAGTGAGTCCTTCAACTCTTCTTCACTTTCACTTTTAATGAGCCTTCCTCCAATTCTGATGTGACATTCTTCTTCTCATAGTCCAGTATCTTGGACTATTTGCTCAGCACATAGTGTGAATAAGTATGATGAAATTGTAAAAGCCTTATGCACTTGTTCACTGATTTAAAAACATGTAGTATCCCCTACTTATTAGCACAATGGCTTCTTGGTCTATGTACAGGTTCTGCATAAACACAATTAAGTGTCCTGGAATTCCCATTCTTTGCAACGATATACATAATTTGTTATGCTCTGCAGAGTCAAAAGCTTTTACATAGTCAATAAAACAAAAGGTAAATATCTTTCTGGCAGTCTTTGTTTTCATCCAATATCCATCTGACATTAGTGATGATATTCCTCATTCCACATCTTCCTCTGAATCTGACTTGAATTTATGGCAGTTCCTTGTCTATATACTGCTACCACTGGTTTTTCATTTCTTCATTTCATTTTATTAATTTTTTCAGTATTTCCTACCCTACCTCCCACCCTGGGTAACCAACAAAGATACAATTGGTTTTGAATTACCTTCAACAAAATTTTTCTTGCATGTGTGGTTATAACTGCCCCAATCTAAAGAGAGACTTTTAAGGTAATAACCCTTATTCTTTTCTAATTGAGAAATGTGACACTAAACTCAATAAACTTTGTTTTTTGCACTCTCTGCTATGCTTTCTACTTTTTCCTTTTCTTTGCAACTTGCATCTTTTTAATTTTAGATCTCAATTCAAATGTCAAAACTTCAGAATACTTCCTTGATTTACCTCTCTACTTCTTCAACCCTTATTTCTACATTAATTATTTTTTATTTCTTCCATGGCAATCATTACTATCTGGCTATATCTTAATTAGTTTTTACATTTTAAATCTCCACTCTGGAATATAAACACTCTGATAGTATGTACTTTGTATACAATTTTTTCCTACTATGACCTAAACATCTATGAAGGTCCCTACTAAAAATATTTAAAATGATTTGTTGAAAAAGAGAATTATATAAATTTTCTCAAAATATATTAACAAATATACTAACATTTTCTTCCAATTTAGATGATATGAGACATATAGACATAGATATAGAAGAAGTATAGATATAGATAGATAGATAGATAAATAGATAGATAAATAGATAATCTTCTCACTTAACTTTCTTTAGATTTTGCTTCTCATGCTCAGTAACTAAGTCTGATTCTATTTCTCAGTCTTCCTGGACTTATCTCTTCAATTTCTTTATTGTTCCAAATACACTGACTACACTTTTTCTCTGTTGGATTTTTGTCATAACTTCCTCAATAGGAGTAATAATTCTCCAGCTCCAGTCTAGACACTAGTGCCATTTGCATAGCACAATTCTGAAACACTGTGTGGTGTGTGCTTCGGTGTGTATGTTCTGGAAGATGTGGGATATCAGAAATAGGTGAAATAGACACTTTTTTTATTACTTATTATGATTTGGGTGAAGATTTACAGAACAAATTCACTTTCCATACAGCAGTTCACATATATTTTGTCTCATGTCATTGACCACAGTTTACCACAATGCAACAGCTCCCCTCCCACTTCCTCCCCATAGTTACCTCTTCCCAGTGTCCATCTCTCCATACTCTCCTGCCCCCTGAGCTGTCTCCCTGTGCATAAGCAGCCCTTCCTTCTCCCATGATTATTCTCTCCAGGGCATGTGTCTACTTGAGGTAAATGTTTAACTCACATGCCTGTACTTTGGATGGAAAGCACAGGTGTGGGTTCAATTCCAGACCTGAAGGGCAGCTAGAGGCCATAGTCTCAGTGGTTCCACCAGGCTCTATTGGACCAGCAAACCTGGTCCCCACCATCTTTTTTATTTTTTTTTTTCCCTCCAAATGATTTTGAGTTTTGTTCCACATTGTTCTCCCTCTCTATCCAGGATCTCCTACATCCCTTCCAAGTGGATGACAGTGGTAGCCAAGCACCATCTAGTTCTTCTGGTCTCATAGTTGTATAGGCTGCAGATCAGATGGTATACCAGTCCCAAGGACTGATTGTTTCCATTAATTTTGGTTTTCTTCTTTCTTCTTTGCTCTTGACGAGGAGTGACCCATAGTTGCATCTAGATAGCAGCTTGCTAGCTTTTAAGATCCCAGTTGCTACTCACCAAAGTAGGAGGTGGAACAATGTTTTGTATAGTATGTTATGCCAATTGAGCTTGATGTCCCCTGCAACTATGGTCCCAAGCCCGCAGGATCAACTACTCAGTTGCTCTGGGTAGCTGGCTATGACCAAGCAGTGACCACAACCTTGCCCCTTGTCAGCTCTCTTATACACCTGGGAATTCTGATCATTCACATGAACTTAGAGGACCATTGTCTGCCAACCCTACATATGATCTTGGATACACTCCCCATTTCATAGACATACCTAATCATTTAGCCTGTCCACCTATCTATCCATCCATATACTCATGTTAGCCTTCACTGAGAACTCAGTACTGTATATGCAAAAGGGTTCATATTTGTTGTCTGTACTTCCCATGTACCTCTCTATGTCTTTCTCATCCTCAGTGCTGCCATATTGGTCACTCATATTTGGTACGTTGCCTTTCTCTTCACCCAAATCAATATCTATCTCTATCTATCTAACAGCAGTCCCTCCCCTTCCCTCCCACCCCTGGTAACCAACAAAGAAAATTTCCTTCAATAGATAAACCTTTCCTTAACTTTTACAATAACGGACTAATAAAATATTTGTCCTTTTGTGATTGGCTTTTATTTCACTCAGCATAATGTCCTCCAAGTTCATCCATGTTATGTGGTGTTTTGCAGATTCTACATTTTTCTTTAGCGTTGCCTAGTATTCCATTGAGTGTATGTACCATAGTTTAGTTATCCATTCCTCAGTTGATGGACATCTAGGTTGTTTCCATGTTTTGGCTATTGTAAATAGTGCTGTGATGAACACGGGTGTGCATATACCTAGTAATGGGATGGCTGGGTCAAATGGTATTTCTAATTCCAACTTAGGGAAGGAATTGCCATACTGCTTCCCACAATGGTTGTACCATTTTACAGTCCTACCAGCAGTGTATGAGAGTCCCAATCTCTCCACAACCTCACCAGCATTTGTTGTTTTCTGTCTTGTTGAACTTAGCTACTAGTGCTGGAGCAAGATGATGTCTCATTGTTGTTTTGATTTGCATCTCTCTAATAGCTAATGATCATGAGCATTTCTTCATATGTTTGTTGGCCACTTGAATATCCTCCTTGGTGAAGTGTCTGGAATGGACACTTTTTAAGATACAAGTATAAGAAAAATATTTATATTCATGAAGACGTCAATGTACAGACAACATATACTTAGGCCAATTTTAAAGAGAAGGCAAAACATCCCAAGGAAGGACAAATTCACAAGCAAACTCAAAATCTTGCTCAAAATAAAGAAGAATTTTTATTAACAATAAATAACTTCTCCACCTATCTGGAAAACCAAGATCATCATAATAAAAACAAATCAGAGATTTAGTGAATAAAGGCTAACATTTGTAAACAGATAATATCATGGAGCCTCCATTCAAAAAAATGCCCTTCTAAGAAGGAGATACTTGGAGGTCTTAGCCTTTATCTAGCATGTAATTTCTTGAATCAGAATTGTTCTATGAAGTGAAGAATTGTTCGGAAGTAAATGGTGCTTGTATCATGATATTCTAGCAGCAAGAAGAATAACATCTTCTGTAGCAAAATGGCCAGTAGCCACAGCAGCCAGAACCATATCCACAGCCATAGCGGGAGCCATAGCCACAACCATAGCCAGATCCATAGCCACAGCCATAGATGCAACACATGGTGTCAGGAAGTGAAGTATCAATTGAGGTGTTGGAGAGTGGTTCTTATGTCTGAATGCCATCTGTTATCCCAGGACCTTTATATACTGCCCAAAAGTGTGGGGCACAATTAATATAGATTCTGTGGCTTCATTACTACTGAAGTTTTCATTTTTAAAAAGCTCATCATGCAAAGATCAACAATATTTTCAGATGATTATGTCCAGGGTTTTACATTACCCAATCAAGGAGGTTGTTACAAAGTAGATGTACCCTACACATTGAACATGTCTTGAAGAATTCAATCAAAATTTCATTTTGATTTTCTCCTTAAGAGACATTAACTGTCCTTCACCTCCATTTACTCATCCTGGCACACTGGTAGATGGTCCAGCATCTCATAGCATCCACGCAGGAAAGGCATATTTTTAGGCACCCTCATATTATACCTGTGAGAAAGTCTATAAAGTCTATGCAAAATGGTCACTGCAGTACTGCCAGAAATAGGAAATAAGAGAGGTCAAGAAGATGACATATGGTGCAATAGAAGGGTCTCATGCAATATAGTAAAAAATGCAACCATGAATTTGTCCAAAGCAATATAATCTACTCTATCTAAGGGTAAGTAGAATATAATTTTTTGTTATGTTACTCTCTTTCTTTGAAACCATTTTCCTACTTGTTGTTGCTAGGTACCGTCAAGTTGGCTCAAACTCATAACAACACCATGTAAAACAGAACAAAATACTGCCTTGTCATGCACCATCCTCACAGTCCTTGCTATGCTTTAGACCATCACCACAATATCTGTGTCAATCCATCTCAATGAGAGTCTTCCTCTTCTTTGCTGATGCTGTACTTTATCAATCATGGTATTCTCCAGAGAGTGGTATCTTCTGACAACATGACCATAGAAGGTGACAAAGTCAGACCTTTTTCACTTCCAAGAGGTATTCCACCTGCACTTCCCCCAGGACAGATTTGTTCATTCTGACAGTCCGTGAAATTTTCAGTATTCTTCATTAACATCACAATTCAAAGGCATCAACTCTTTTTTGGACTTCTTTATTCATTGTCCAGCTAATACATCACAGTGCTATAATAGCTGCTCTTGTCACTACATTCTCTTGTCTACTGAGAATACAATCTTCTTAGCAAAAGACACTAACTATTTAGTCATCTTAAATGATAGTCTATATTGTAAAAAATCACCTTTGATTAACAAATTTCAGGGTAAAGGAAAACCTCACATTCTAGGTCTTCTCTGAATTGTGGTTGTCTAATTTTTACAATTTGTGTCACACAAAGTACTCCACAGAAGAATGATAAGACAATCTTCTATAATGAAGATTAATAACAGCAGAAACCCTATAGGATCGCTATAAGTTGGAATCAACTTGATTACAGTGAGTTTGGTTTGTTTTTTGATAGATTTTACTATATTTTTCACTTAATATATTCAATATGAGCTTTCTTCTTCAAACCCAATGATGCTTCCCAGATTTCACATTTTATTTGCATTCTCCTCAAAACAGCTTAGCAGACAATATTTTTCTCATACATTTCCATTGATTGCTTTTCTAGACAATGACTGAATGGTCCAATTTAATTAGAAAAGAGCAATTGATGACTACATTATGTAAGAACTGCACCATGATGTAAAATATTGGATAAATAACAGGCGATCTAGATTCTACGGATAAACTCTGTGCTTTAGAAACTCTCCAGTGATACTGAATCACAATTTCCTTTGGACTAGTCTTCTTTCTTTCATCACAAGTTCCATCAGAGAATGGAGTTTATTCTATCTTTCCATTTCCTTACCCATTAACTCCTGAATTTATCATAACCAATGTCCCACTCACTATCAAAATATCTGTTACTAAATAAGATACCATACCTTCTGCCAACTACAATGGTATCAATTAAGTAACCAGTACATGAGGATGATAAAGAGAAATGCAGAACCAAATCATCAGAAGAGAAGTTACTCTGTTAATATTTACTTATTTGTGACTAAATATGCAATGACAACAACAATGCAATGACAAACATTTCATTGTACTTACTATGACTATATATCTTAGAGTTCATACTATGGTGTATATCAGACCTTGTTTCACTGCTATTCATATGGTTTTCACTGGCCAATTCTTTGATGGGAGGCTAGAAGCTCCACAGAAACCTGTCCACTATGAGTGACTCTACTGGTATTTGAAATATGGTGGCAAAACCTCCAGTGTCATAGCAACAACTAAGCCATCAAACTTTCACAAACTAAGATGATTATTTATGTTCTACTGACTATGCAAAAATATTCAACTGTGTGGATCATAAAAGAAAATCATAGATAACATTCAGAAGAATGAGAAACCAGAAAATTTATTGTGCTCAGAGGAACCTATATATAGACCAGGAGGCTGTTGTTCAAACATAACAAGGGGATACTGCATGGTTTAAAATCAGGAAAGGTGTGCATCAGGGTTGTATCCTTTCACCATACTTATACAGTCTGTATGCTGAACAAATAATCCAGGAAGTGGGACTATATGAAGAACACAGCATCAGGATTGGAGGAAGACTCATTAACAACCTGTGATATGCAAAAGACAAAGCCTTTCTTCCTGAAAGTGTCGATGGCTTAAAGCACTTACTGATGTAGATTGAAGACTACAGTCTTCAGTATGGATTATACCTCAACATAAAGAAAACTGAAATCTTCACAACTGGACCAGTAAGAAGCAACATGATGAATGGAGAAAAGACTGACATTGGCAAAGATTTCATATTCTTTTGATCCACAATCAACAGAAATGGAAGCAACAGACAAGAAATCAAATGCTGTATTGCACTGGGCAAATATGCTCCAAACAACCTCGTTAAAGTGCTGAAGAGCAAAGATATCTCTTTGAACACTAATGTGTGCCTAACCCAAGTCATGGTATTTTCAATCACTTTGTATGGATGTGAAAACTAGATAATGAATAAGGAAGAGTAAGGAAGAATTGATGCTTTTGAGATGTGGTGTTAGAGAAGAATACTGAAAGTACCATGAATGTCCAGAATAATGAACAAATCTATCCTGGAAAAGTGCACTCGGAATGCTCCTGGGAGGTGAAAATGGCCAGACTTTGTTTCACCTTCTACGGTCATGTTGTCAGAAGGGACCATTTCTTGGAGAAAGATATCATGCTTCATAAGATAGAGGGTTAGCAATAAAGGGGAACACCCTCAAGGACATGGATTGACACAGTGGCTACAACAATGGGGTTATGTATAGCAAATACAGTGAGGATGGCTCAGAACCGGAGAGTGTTTCCTTCTGTTGTACATAGGGTCACTATGCATCAGAGGCACTTTGATGGCAGGTGACAACAAAAAAATTATGGCAGAGATGTGTCATGGGTGTGGGAAATGAAGAACTTATAAGTGTGTCTATATTTGAGATATAAGAAATTGAGATTATCGATGAAAATCTTGTTGTTGTTGTTGTTGTTGTTGTTATGTGCTGTCCAGTCAGTCGCGACTCATAGCGACCCCTCCTTGGGTTTCTGAGGCAGTATCACTACAGAAGTAGGATTGCCCAACCTTCCTTCGGAGGAGTGGCCGGTGGGTTTGAACCGCCAGCCTTCTGGTTAGCAGTCAAGTGACTTAGACACTATGCTACCAGAGAAAACCCTAGGATGTCAAAATATTGTCATTATTAATCACAAAGACATAATAAATTGAAATGTATGACATTTTTATATGCTGAAAAAAGTTAAATATCAATTTCACAGTGAGCAACCTAATAATAAACATAATAGTAAAAAATGCACTGCGTTCTCATGGTGGAAGGGCTTGGCATTCTCTATTTTATCTGATATCTGCAACAATCTGTAGCTGGCACTGTATAAGACATTTTATCATTGTGTCCTTGGGGCTCACAATGAACATCATGTGCCAGTGGTCACACTGCTAGTAAGTGATGGAGCCAATATTAGTTCTCATATATTTTAGCTCTGAAACCTGGGCTTTTAATTACTGTCTATAAAATTTTATTTTTGGAAGTGCGACACTTTGGATTTCCCCCAAGCAAGTGGTATCTTGCCCCAGGGAAGCACAGTTGAAGGCAATGTTTCATTGTATAGAAGAACCTGGGTATCACTTAAATTGGGATTAAAGATTTCTGGGTTTATTGTAGACTTTCCTCATCGAGTTTTATGTATTTTCATTTTTCTTGTATTCTTCAGTCTCATAAATAACACATACCAATGGTAAAATTTTTAGGAAAGTTAACTTCTCAATGGCAGGGAGTATGAGCAATGTTGTGTTTTTAAATGATTAAGTACCTCCATGGAGAGGAAGACTCTCATCTGTAACGTTTGCTCACTTTTATGGTGTAAATATGAAGCAATAGCTATCCAATGGTAGAAATCTCCCTTTCTACCATGTGGTATGACCCAAATTTGAAAAGCTAATATGTTACAGTAATGCCACTTTCAGTTCAGATGAGACCAGGAATAAGATCTTGGTAAAATATTTGTAAAAAAAAAAAATAATAATAAATAGCCAGTGACTCCTTATTGAATTGCACATAGGATCACCATACATTGACGTTAACTAACAAGAGCAATTTGTGCATATATATCACATTGCCTGTTTCATGTTACCAATGTTTTAACAACTAAAAATTCTATACTGCCCCCCAAGTACTTTAATAATTTAACTTTAATGTTTAGAAATTTAACCAGTATATAATTTATTTTCTTGTGTGTCAAACAAGTGGCAAAATGATCAAAATTTATGAATAACCTATCTTATTTTAAACGTCTATCTTTACTGAGTACTTTCTGGAAGTCTAAAGCTCTCACTCTTCCTGACTCAGCATGTTCTACTTCCCAGATGATAATAACACAGTTGCTATTGTCTGTTGTTAGGTGCTGTTGAGTTGGCTTCCACTCATGGTGACACTATGTACAACATAATAAAACACTGCCTGGTCTTGTGCCAGCCTCATAATACCAAGCCCATCATTACAACCACTGTATCAATCAATCTTGTTGAGGGCCTTCCCCTTTTTTGTCAACCCACCACTTTACCAAACATGATATTCTTCTCAAGGGAATGGTGTGTTCTGAAAATTTGACCAAAGTAGGTGAGAAAATGTTTGGTCATTCTTTCTTCCAAGGAGCATTCCAACTGCATTTCTTCCAGGACAGATCTGTTAGTTCTTTTGGCAGTCCATGGTATTTTCAGTATTCTTTTTGAAAATGAAAACTCAAAAGTATCTACTCTTCTTGGGTCATCCTTATTCATTGTCCAACTTTCACACACATATGAGGTGATTGAAAACACCATAGCTTAGATTAGGTGCACCTTAGTCTTCAAAGAGACATCTGCTTTTCATCACTTTAAAGAGGTCTTTTCTAGCAGATTTGCCCAGTGAAATATGTCGTCTGATTTCTTCACTGTTGCTTCCATTTCTTAATTTCATTGGTGGGCTATCAAGAGCTCTCTCCTTAGTCTCCAGGCCACCTTAATGTGAGCCTCTATAACAACATGGTCCAATGGACACAACATGAAATACACATAGAATTTCAAATACTTGAGCAGTTACATTTTTAGAAAGATAAGAGGAAACTTTTGTTGTTAGGTTCCATTGAGTCATTTTCAACTCATAAGAACCATACATACAAAGGAACGAAACATTATTGGTCCTGGGTCATACTCAAATCATTGCTATGCTTGAACACGTTGTTGCAGCCACAGTGTTATCCACCTCATTGAGGGTCTTCCTCTCTTACATTGAGCCTCTACTTTACTAAGCATAGTAGCTTGATCCTTTCTGACAATGTAACCAAAGTACAAGAGATGAAGTCTGGTCATTCTCCTTTCTAAGGAGCATTCTTGCTGTACTACTTTCAACAAATATATGTTCTTGTATCTGCCAGCCCATGTAAATTCATATTCTTCACCAACAACATGATTGAAGCGCTTCAATTCTTCTAGAGTGCTCCTTATTCATTGTACAGCTTTTACACATATACTAGGCAAATGAAAAATGTCAAGGCCTATGCCACTTACACCTTAATCTTCAAAGAGATCTTTGCTTTTTAACACTTTAAAAATGTCTTTTGCAGGAGATTTGCCAAATGAACTACGTCCTTTCATTTCTTCACTGTTGCTTCCATTGGTGTTGATTGTGGATCCCAGTAAGATGAAATCCTTGGTAACTTGACACTTTTCTTCATTTATCATGATGTTACTTATTGGTCCAATTGGGATGATTTTTGTTTCCTTTATGTTGTGGTATAATCCACCCAGAAGGTTGTAGTCTTTGATCTTCATTAGTAAGTCCTTCACGTCTTCTTCAGTTTCAGCAAGCAAGGTTGTGTCACCTTCATAACACAGGTTGTTAATGAGTGTTCCTCATTCTCATGCCACATTCTTTTCATGTAGTCTAGTTTCTTGGACTATTTGCTCAGCACACAGATTGAATAAGGTTAGATAAAAGCATACAGGCCTGATGCACATATTCTCTGATTTGAAACCATTCAGTAATCCTTGTTCTATCAGAACCACTGCCTTTTTGTGTTTCTACGGGTTCCTCATGAGCACATCTAAGTGTTATAGAATTGCCATTCTTCTAAACGCTATCCATTATTTGTTAAGATCCACATAGTCAAAAGACTTTGCAGAGTTAAAAAAAATTAAATATCTTTCTGGTAATCTTCTTTTTCACCAATATCCATCTGACATCAGCAATGATATACCTCATTGCCAGCTTGAATTTATGACAGTTCCTTGCCTATATACTGCAGCAAGAAATATGAAATATCTTCAGCAACAGTTTTACCTGCATGTGAAATTATGTCTCCTCCAATCCAAAGAGAGGCTTTTAAGGTCTTTGGTCTTATTGTTTTCCAACTGGGAAAACTGACACCACCTTTTTGTGCCTAAAACTTAATAAACTTCCTCTTCCCATTTGCACTTACTGCTATTCCTTCTAGTTGTTCTTTGCAACTGGTATCTTTTTATTTTCAGATCTCATCTCAACTGTTACAGCTTTAAAATACCTTCGTTACTTAGCCCTCTAATTCTTCAAATTTTATTCTTCCCTTAAAGCTTTTTTATTCCTTCCATAGCAATCATTTTTATCTGAATTTATTTTAATTAGTTTTTGCTTTTTTGTTTTTTTAAACCTCTACTTCTGAAATATAACTCTCTGATAGCAGGTACTTTGTACATAATTTTTTTCCTACAGTGTCCAAGTGTCTATGAAGGTACATATTCAAAATATTAAAAAGTATTTTTTAAAAAAGAGAATAAAATAAATATTTTCAAAGTATGTCAAAAAATACACATACCTTTTTAAAATCAAATTCAGATAGTATGATGAACACATCTCTACTCACTTATTCTTTCCTCAGGTTTTTGCACCTCATGCTCCGTAACTAAGTCTGATTCTGTTTTCTCAATCATCCTAGACTATCTCTTCAGTTCCATCACTGTTCAAAATACATTGACCATAATGTCCTTCAAATTCATCCATGTTGTGAGATGATTTATGTATTCTTCATTATTCTTTAAGATTGCATAGTAATCCACTGTGTGAATGTACCATATTTTGGTTCTCCAGTCCTTTGTTGCTGGGCATTTAGATAGTTTCCATCTCTTTGCTATAGTAAATTGTGCTGTAATGAACATGGGTGTTCACATGTCTTTTTGTGTCCTTCTCTCATCTCTTTAAGATATATTCCTAGTAATGGAATTGCTGCATTAAATATTTTTATTTTCAGTTTACATAAATCAATCACAGAATGACAAATGTTGTTAGAGCCCATTATTGAAAAAATCAAGGAAAGGTTTACTTAGTAAAGGAAATTCAATTTGTTGGTTACCAGGGATGAAATGGAAGGGAAGGGAATATTGTGGACTAGTGAGGAGTCACATATTGATCTGGGTGAGTGGAGGGATGGTATGGAAAGTTTAGTTGACCAGCATGATGACATTGGGTAAAGCAAGGAAGCTGAACTGTGCACATAAGATATAGACAACAAAGACAAATACTAGTACATGCACAATACTGTATTACCACCCACACCAAACACTACCCTACAGATAAATGCATAGACAGGTGTGAATATCATGTGAGGATAGACGAACAGGAATATACTCCAGATTAAGGATAGATTTGGCTGAAGATAATATTACATATGTAGTTGTGCTACAAAATTAGCCACATACATGACAGAGCAACAGCAGACAGAGTTGGAGTAACTTTTCAGAGAGAACCAAACCCCTTGAGAGAGAGAATCACCAGGCCTGCAGACTTGGGACCTTAGTCTCAAGGGACAACATGCTCAATTGGCACAACGTTGTACATAAAAATCTTGTTCTACAGCCTGCTTTAGAGAGTAGTAACTGGGTTCTTAAAATCTTTGGAGCAGCCATCTAAGATGCAACTATTGGTCTCCTCTCATCTAAATCAAACAAGAGAGAAGATAATCAAAGGTACCTGGAAATAATTAGTCCAAGAATGAGATGGACCACAAGGAGCTCCGTCATCATGACCCTAAGACCAGAAGAACTAGATGGCACCCAGCTACCAATACCAACCACTCAATAGGGATCAAAACTGGAGATCCAGGAAAGAGTGGAAGGAAAAATGTAGAACAAAATTAAAAAAACACAAAAATGACTAGAATTATTGGTCAGAGAGAGACTGGTGGAATCCCCCAAGACTATGGCCTTGGGTTACCCTTCAGGTCTAGAAATGGACTCACTTCAACTGACTGGATCTCAGACCAACAGTAGAAAACCATACATGCAGAACACCTACCCCAGGACAATGTACTCACCTGCTTTAGAGAGATGCGATAAGCCATGAGACACCAGCAGAGCAGAATTCACATAGAAGGAAACCTGAACTTACAGGAATGCATAGTCGAGAAGACACAGGGGTGGGAAAACTACAGGGATAAGAGGGGAGGAAAGTTTTGTATGATTGGGGATGGTAATTGGGGCATGATATCAAATTTGCATGAACTCTTGAATATAAAAAAATTTGCTATGAAAATTTGCACCCAATGTACAATAATTTTTTTAAAAAAATACACTGACCACATTTCTTCTCTTTTGGCTTTTTGTAATAACCTCTTGTGTAGTTGCTTTATGCTCTGGCTCCATTAACCCCAGTACATTTTACACAACACAGTTCTGATATATCGTGTGATGTGTACATAGATGTATGTGTTCCTAAAAATCTAAGATATTGAAAATAAGGGGTACAGACATTTTTTTAAGATGCAAGTATAAGAAGAATTAAATATATCCATGAATAACTCAAAGATAGCCAACATATTGTTAGCCCCACCATAAAGAGAAGCCATAACATTTAAAGGAAGGACAAATTTACAAGCAAACACAAAGAATTGTTCAAAATAAAGAACCATTTTTATTGACAATAACTGATTTCCACACCTATACGGGAAAAAAAGACCATCTTAACAGAATATTGGAGAGTAAGGGAGTAAAAGGTAACATTTAGAAAACAGACAATATCACAGTCACCATTCACAAAAATGCCATTTTGTAGAAGAAGGAGGTCCTAGGAGATATTAGCCTTTATCGGGCATGTAATTTCTTGAATCAGAGTTTTTCTATGAAGTGTCACTTCAGAAGTAAATGGTGCTTGGAGAGAGATGTTCTACCAGCAAGAAGAATAGCATCTTCTGTAGCAAAATGGCCGGTAGCCATAGCAGCCAGAACCATAGCCACAGCCATAGCGGGAGCCATAGCCACAGCCATAGCCAGATCCATAGCCACAGCCATAGCCAGAACCATAGCCACAGCCATAGCCACAGCCACCATAGTAGTTGCAACACATGGTGTCAAGAGATGAAGTTTCAGTTGAGGTATAGGAGGGTGGTTTTGATGTCTGAATGCCATCTGCTATTCCTGGACCTTTATATACTGTCAGAAAGTGGGTGGGGCACAATAAACACAGACTATGTGACCTCATTACTACAGCAATTTTCATTTTCAAAAGCTCATAATGTGAAGGTCAATAATATAGTCACATGGTTAGTACAGGGTCTGACACCAGCCAAAGAAGACAGCAATAAGAAGCAGATGTACACTGTAGGTTTCACAAGTATGGCTTTGGAATTTATTCAATACCTAACTTAGATCTTCTCCTCAGAGACATTACCTCTCCTCCACTTCCAGTTATACATACTTGGACACTGGGAGATGGACTAGCATCTCATATCATCTGATATCAACAGCAAAACACCTGGATTAGAGACAAGTAGTAAGGGCATGTGGTGAGACACTCTCAGCTTATACCTGCAAGAATGTATATAAAGTGCATACGAAATGGTCACTGCAATAATGGCAGAAACAGGAGACAAGTGAGGCCAAGAAGATGTGATATGGTTCAAAAGGAGAGTCTCAACTACTATACCAAGTTAAACACAACCATCAGTTTGTCCAAAGTAATATAATCTACTCCATCTAAGGGTCCATAGAACATACAATTTTGATATGTTACTCACTCTTTGAAATATATTATCTGCTTGCCTCACCAAAGAATCACTTGCTAGTATCCCAGTTATCTTTTGAAAATTAGGTCAGACTATATCTCCCATTGAAAGCATCCCTAGACATTCACAATATACACAAAGCATACTTTCTCAGTTCTTCCATAGATCCCTGTGCATAACTGTAATGTGGTACAGAGCACGTACATATTACATTATTTTATTTTATTTCTCTGCTTCCTTCAATTGCATGTTTTTTTTAAACCAGTAACTGTTTTATTTTCTGAAGAAATAATGAAAAATGCACTAAGCAACTGTTGGAAGAGAGGCTATAAGACTTTTTCAAACTATACAAGTGATTTTTTTTTTATAGTTGGGCAATGTTCTATTCAAAATAATAAACACAATAATAACCATGAAAAACATTCATACACTTGAGCCTTTGACTGCTAACCAGAAGGATGGCAGTTTAAACCCACCAGCCACTCCTTGGAAGGAAGTAGTGATACTGCCTTGGAAACCCAAGGAGGGGTCGCTATGAGTCTGGTTTGACTCCATGGCACATAACAACAACAACAACAATCATAGTCTTAACCAACTCATGGTGTAAATATTCAACAGCAAACTCTAGCCAACTCTCAAATATGTTCTATAACTCTCTTTAAGGACCTCATAGTGTTATAATGACTGCTCTTGTCATGCCACTGCATTCTCTATCCTCACAAGGCCCATTCTTCATCACAAATGAAACTAACTGTTCTAGGTATCTTGAAGGATTATCTGTATTGGAAAAAAGGACTTTTGATCAACAAATTTCACCTTAAAGTAAAATCTCACATTCTAGGCCTGCTTTAAATTGTGATTCTATCTTTCCATTTCCTTACCCATTGACTCTTGAATTTACTATGACCAATGTCATACTCACTATCAAAATATCTGTTACTACATAAGAAACCATAGCTTCTGCCAACTATAATGGTACCAATTAAGTAATTCATACATGAGAATGATAAAAAGAAAAGCAGAACAAAATAATCAAAAGAGAAGTTACTCTATTAATATTTACTTATTTGTGACTAAATATGAAATGACAAACTTTTCAGTGTACTTGCTATGATTGTATATTTTAGAGTTCATACGATGGCATATATCAGACCATGTCTCACTGCTACTCATACAGTTTTCACTGGCCAATTCTTTGATAAGAGGCTAGAAGCTTCATGGAAACCTGTCTAGTATGAATGACCCTGTTGGTACTGGAAATACCGGTTGCAAAGCCTCCAGTATCATGGTAGCAACTAAGCCACCAAAGTTTCACAAACTGAGAGGATTATTTATGTTCTACTGATAATGCAAAAGTATTCAATTGTGTGGATCATAACAAATCATGTATAACATTCAGAAGAATGGGAATTCCAAAACACTTATTGTGCTCATGAGGAACCTATATATAGATCAGGAAACTGTCATTCAAACAGAACAAGGGGATATTGCATGGCTTAAAATCAGGAAAGGTGTGCATCAGGGTTGTATCCTTTCACAATACTTATATAGTCTGTATGCTGAACAATAATCCAGAAAGTGGGACTATATGAAGAAAAATGCAGCATCAGGATTGGAGAAAGACTCATTAACAACCTGTGATATGCAAAAGACACAACCTTGCTTGCTGAAAATGAAGATGACTTGAAGCACTTACTGATGCAGATTTAAGACTACAGTCTGCAGCATGGATTATACTTCAACATAAAGAAAACTAAAATCCTCACAACTGGACCAATAAGCAGCATCACAAAGAATGGAAAAATGACTGATATTGGCAAAGATTTCATATTACTTTGAAACAAAATCAACCGAAATGGAAGCAACAGTCAAGAAACCAAATGCTGTATTGCACTGGGGAAATATGTTGCAAGAACCTCTTTAAAGTGCTGAAGAGCAGAGATGTCTCTTTGAACACTAAGGAAAGTGCTGAAGAGCAGAGATGTCTCCTTGAACACTAAGGTGCGCCTAACCCAAACCATGATATTTTCAATCACTTCATATGGATGTGAAAGCTGGATAATGAATAAGAAAGACTAAAAAAGAGTTGATGCTTTTGAGATGTAGTGTTATAGAAGAATACTGAAAGTACCATGAATGGCCAGAAGAACGAACCAATCTATCCTAGAATAAGTGCAGTTGGAACGCTATTGGGAACCTAGAATGGCCAGACTTCATTTTATGTAATTTGGTCATGTCAGAATGGACCATTCCCTGGAGAAAGATATCATGCTTGGTAAAACAGAGAGTTAACAAGAAAGGGGAACACCCTCAAGGAGATGGATTGACACAATGACTGCAACAATGGGCTCAGGTATACCTATAGCAAATACAGTGAGGATGGCTCAGGACCGGGGAGTGTTTCGTTCTGTTGTACATAGGGTCACTATGCATCAGAGCCACATTGATGGCAGGTGACAACAACAAATTTATGGCATAGATGTGTCATGGATGTAGGAAATTAATAGCTTATGAGTGTGCCTACATTTGAGATATAAAAAATTGAGATTATTGATTAAAATTCTAGATGTAAAAATATTGTCATTATTAGTCACCAAGACGTAATAAGTTGAAACGTATGACATTTTTATATGCTGAAAATAGTTAAATATCAACAATTTCACAATGAGCAACCTAATAATATACATAATAGTAAAAAATGCACTGTGTTCTCACGGTGGAAGGGCTTGGCATTCTCTATTTTTTTGATATCTGCAACAATCTCTAGATAGCACTGTATATGACATTTTTCTATTGTGTCTTTGGGGCTCACAATGTACATCATGTGCCAGTGATCACACCCATAGTAAGTGATGGAGCCAATATTATTTCTCACATATTTTGGCTCTGAAACCTAGGATTTTAATTGTTGTTGTTGTTGTTGTTATATGCCATCGAGTCGGAATTTTATTTTTGGAAGTGTGAGACATTGGATTGCCCCCAAGCCAATGGTATCTTGCACCAGGGAAGCACAGTTGAAGACAATATTTCATTGTATCCAGAACGTGGGTATCACTTAAAATGGGTTTTGAAGATTTCTGGGTTTATTGCAGACTTTCCTCATCGAGTTCTATGTATTTTCATTTTTCTTGTCTTCTTCAGTCTCATAAATAACACATACCAATGGTAAAATTTTTAGGAAGGTTAACTTCTCAATGGCAGGGAGTATGGGCAATGTTGTGTTTTAAAATGATTAAGTACCTCCATGGAGAAGAAGACTCTGATCTGTAATGTTTGCTCACTTTTATGGTGTAAATATGAAGCAATAGCCATCCAGTGGTAGAAAGCTCCCTCCCATGTGGTATGACCCAAGTTTGATAAAAGGGTATATTTTGCAGTAATGCCACTTTCAGTTCAGATGGAACCAGGAAGAAGATCTTAGCAAGATATTTGTTAAAAAGTAGCCAGTGACTCCTTATTGAATTGCACATAGCATCACCATGCATTGGCGCTAACAAGAGCAATTTGTGTACATAAATCACATGGCCTATTCCACGTTACCAATGATTTGACAACTAAAAAATTTATACTGCCTCCCAGTACTTTGATAATTTAACTTTAATGTTTAGGAATTTAATTGATATAGAATTTCTTTTCTTGTGTGTCAAACAGTTTACAAAATTATCAAATTTTATGAATAAACTATCTTATATTAAACGTCTATCTTTACTAAGTACTTTCTGGAAGTCTAAAGCTCTGGCTCCTATTGTCTTCCTGACTCAGCATGTTCTGCTTCCCAGATGATAATAACATGGTTGCTGTTGTCTATTGTTAGGTGCTGTCGAGTTGGCTCCCACTCATGGTGACCCTATGTGCAACAGAATGAAACCCTGCTTTGTCCTGTGCCAGTCTCACAATATGGAGCCCATCATTATAGCCACTGTGTCAATCCACCTTGTTGAGGGCCTTCCTCTTTTTTATTGACCCTCTACTCTACCAAGTATGATATTCTTCTCGAGGGAATGATCTCTTCTGCAAACTTTACCAAGCTAGGTGAGACAAGGTCTGGCCATTTGTGATGGTTATGTTTGTATGTCAACTTGGCTAGACCTGGTTGAGTGGCTGGGTAGCTGGATGCAGTATTCCCCATGATGAGATTGGTCATCATCTCCATGGTGGAATCTACTGGGAGCAGCTGAGTAGCTGCCTTTCAGTATGTGGTCTGCTTCCTGTATATAAGGAGAAGTTTTGAGAATGGTTTCTAGCGTATGGCATGCTTGGACCTTGCATGTAGCCATGTCATTACTCAGCAGCCTGCTATGTTCTGCCGACCTTGG